ATTTCCATAAAGACAATAATTATTTATTTATTTATGAATGAATGAATGAATGAATGAATGATAACTAGACATTTCACCTTGAAAAGTCATGATAATGTTTATTTTGGCAAAGAATATAGATCTGTGTATTGGGGGGTTATAAAGATTGTATAGTTTTTTTTTGTTTGTTTGTTTGTTTGTTTTTGATTGAGATCATGAATTGATCATTGATAAAGTAGGATGGAAAACCTGAAAGAATTCGATGGTCATTTTGTCATTGTAATGGAATTAATTCAGTAGTGAGTTATCACAATCTCGCATGTTGTTTAGAGATTTCAGGTTTTCAGTGGTCTAATATTGATTCATTCATGATATTGTTGGAATGTATTTCTGAACTAATACTATACATATAGTTTTAGTGCATAATTGTCAAGTAACTAAACTACCCATATTCATGATCCTCTTATCATAAGCTTTATTTTGACCTGTGAACTATTATTATACGATTTACCATTGTTGAGTTATGCCCAGTCTATTGATTACTATCTCCCATATTCACAGCCACATTTGGCTAATTATTGTACAAATGTTATTTTCCATTTTATGGTACGAAATGGTCTGTCTGGTTGGTATATAAACCCAGTATGTTTGAAATAAACTATTCATATTGCAGAGGCTGAGACTGGTGTTCTGGACTTAACTGGCTGGGCTAGGCAGGCAGCAGGACCAATAAGGACTCTATACTGCCCTTATGGTTTTATGCGTCATTGGTCCAGTCGGCAATTCACTATTCTCTAATTGGCGGCATCATTACGTTATACATTAACAGGGCATACAGGCCACAAGTTATAACAGATATCAATCTAAACTCAATCTCTACAACCCTATACTGATAATAATCATCATGCGCCTACTAGTGACTGGTGTCAAAATGATTTCCTGGAGTTCTGGTAAGAAGCCGTGACTTATGGAGTTCAATCCGTGTCTGGTAGAGACAGGTATTTACCACAAATAATGGGTGAATGGTTGTGCAGCAATTCATGGATCGATGGAAGTTGTGCATTAACATTGTTAGATGCCGACTTACTGGTGGAAAGATTAAGAGTTCGCTGCGCGAGAACGAAGGTCTTGGATTCGAATTCCGCGTGTGGAATCGTTGAACGCGCACTGTTGAGGAGTCCCGTTGTAGAATGAAACGGCCATCTAGTGTTTCCAGGTTTTTCATGGTGTTCTAGCATCAACTGACTCATGATCTCAATCAAAAAGAATTTATTACTGCTACTTACGATCAATCGAATGGTTTTAAAATAGTCCTTGGGATTAAGAAATCCTTAAATTGTAACAACCAACGTATTGTCTATAAACCCAAGTGTTGACTGAATTCCATTTAGTAGATCTAAAATCACAGATAGATTTCTTACTAGAACATGAGAGACAGTCATCAGGATCCATCTGTGGTTAATCTACCACCATGAAAGGTTACATTTCATTGCAAAAACGTTCTAACGGTAAAATCCTGACAAAACTGTGTAAAACAGTTTGGAACTGCAATTGATCAGTCTCTTATAGGCAAATGTGCATACTGTGAAGATTGCTTCGATATTGTCTTGAATTACAATCACTCTGAGCAAAATTGGATGATGGCTAACAGTGAAATTCAGGACGACCGTTTCATTGTATTTGGGTCTCATCAACTAGTCACTGGCAGTCCCAAACACCAATAGGCAGATTCAAACAAACAATACGAGATGAATTAAGACTTTATCCCATCGCACAAGCTAATGGCTATCAGGACTCAGTAGATAAATGGATAACGCGATGGCTTTCGAAGTAAACGGTACTGGATTCGAGTGCCAGAGTGAACATCACATCTGAGATGCAGGTACATCCAGTTGACGATTCCCAAATAGGACGAAACGTACGTCCTGGGTTCCACTGCTAAACACCATACATCTTTGTTTATATAAAATGGTTGTCAATATATATGTGAACGGTTCAATGAATATACTAACTGAGCTACTAATTCTGTTAAATATAAACATAATTGAACTTAGCATTAGTTACATTCTCCTTAATCGTCAGTCTGAGAGTGATATTCCATTTTTTCAACTGCCAGTCATTAGAAGTGTCAGTTTGTTTATCAATATGATTGTTATCCTCAGATTCATATGTTCTAAAATCTCTTCAGGTTTTGCTTTATGCTTTCTTTATCTTACTGATTATAATTCTTTCCTATTTCTTTGCCCAATATGTTAGTTTATATTTTAAAAAGAGATTACTTACTTACTTACGCCTGTTACTCCTCATGGAGGAGCATAGGCCTCTCACCAACACTCGCCATCCAACTCTGTCCACCGCAATCCTTTCAACTTCTTTCCACTTGTTATTCATCATTTTCATATCTGCTTCTGTTTCCCGATTTAATGTGTTCTTCGACCTTCCGCATTTCCGCTTCCCTTCAAGATTCAAAGTTAGAGCTTGTCTCATGATGCAGTTTGGTGGTTTCCGTAATGTATGTACTATTCATTTCCATCGTCTTTTCCGAATTTTCTCTTCAACTGGAAGTTGGTTTGTTCTCTCTCACAGTAAGCTGTTGCCTATGGTATCTGGACAATGAATGTTGAGTATGTTGTATAGATAACTATTTATAAATACTTGTACATTGTTGATGATGGTTGTAGTAATTGTGGAAGTTTCATCTCCGTACAGTAGAACTAACTGACTTGACGTTCGTATTGAAGATTGTGACTTTGATATTGATTGCGAGAGAGAGAGAGTTGTTTTGAGTTCCGTATATTGTTCAATTGTAGGAATGGTGTTGTTGCTTTGCCAATCCTCGCCTTTACATCTGCATCCGATCCTCCTTTTTCATCGATGATGCCTCCTAGTTACGTGAAGGATTCCACATCTTCTAAATTTTCGCCATCAAGTGTGATTGGATTGGTGTTCTCTATGTTGTATTTGAGGATCTTGCTCTTTTCCCTTTTGTAGATTGAGGCTTACTAACGCAGAGACTGTTGCTACACTAGCTGTCTTCATCTGCATGTATTCGTTTGTATGGAATAGGAGGGCTTTAAAAAGAGATGAAACAGTTAAAAAAACTATCCCTATCAAGTCAATCAAGTATTTCTATGAGAGTAGTGAATACTGTTAGAATGATATACAGTCTAGACAATCATCGATAGGACAACTAAAGAGACAGACTTCTAATAACTTTGGAAGATGTTTCAAACAACGGTTACAGTGATAGTATAGCTATATCGATAAAAAAGGAAAGTTTTTAAAGGAATGGTGGTAGTGTTGATGAGGATAAAAATGATTTACCCTAAACTATGTAAAATAAATATTTTGTGATCCTACCTAGTTCACTTATTCAATAGATAATGTACTTTATATAAATGAGTGAGCTCAATTTTAGTTACTATGCAAAAGAAACAAATTAACAAAAGCACAACAACTGTAATGATTAATATAATGGCTACAATATAAAAATGTAAAAACCAGGATAGTGATAAGTTGTCTTGATTCTGAGAAAAAAGCCCATGAAATACAATGATTGTCTCGCCCTAACATCAGATTCTCAAAAACTGTGCATCCATGACACTGTCACGAGGGATCGAAATCAGGACCTTCAGTCTGGTGTGCAAACGTCTAATCTTTAGACCACTGAAACGGTACCAATTGATTTGGATGGGAGACGACTGCCTGATATCGTTAATGAATTGAAACTAAGTATGTATACTATTGGTTGTCAGTTTATTGATCTGAAAGTCAGGCTTCCGTGCGCAAGACCGAAGGTTTTCAGTTTAATTCCCGATGGCATGTTTGAGGATACGCACTACTGAGGAGTTCCGTACAAGTTATATACAATTATGTAGTGCATCCTATTTTTCAGTGGTGGTCTGCGAAGTCCTTTACTAATGAAAGGTGAATAGCAAAAATGTAGAGTCAAAACACAAGCCACTGTGGGATGGATAATTTCATGATATCATATTTCATATGAATGCTTAACTAGTACTCTGATTAGGGATTATGAGTTCTCTGAAACGCCAACCCATAACTCATCAACCTTCTTGTAAACTTTCATTGATATGTTTATAGATAGATAATACGTTTAGTTGACATCCAAAATTTGTTAACTTTTCACTAAGATACAGAAAAAAATTAATACTGAAAATCATATAAGCTTGACATTCTGGGAGATTTTTAGCTACAGGAGTTCTTCTCCCCTATTTACTTTTATTGAATCATGATTTGATAATTAAATTCATGAGTCAATTGAAGTTAGATCACCAACTAAAACCTGGAAGCACTGCACAGCCATTTCGTCCTATCGTGGGACTCCTCAGCAGTGCATATCCACGGTCCCTCCTTGCAAGATTCAAACCCAGGACCCATCAATCTCGCGCGCGCGTACGCTTAACCTCTAGACCACTGAGCCTACCAGCAGCCAACGGTGTTAATGTCTAACTTCAATTAATCCACGAAATTGAATGACACATCCGTCATCGTCTTCAGTCAGTTACTATCTCATAACGGATCCGGATGAACTCCACTGGTTACTGCTTGTTACCTGGGTTCGAACCTTGCGGGGCAGGATCGCAGATGCGCACTACTGAAGAGTTTCATACCACGACGAAACATTCTGTTCTTTTATCTATAAATCTGGTATGCTTTATTATTTAACCTTACATGATCACAAGTAAACAATGTTAATTTTATCAAAAATTTTTTTATAAACTATTATGATATGATGATTTGTACTGACCCAATTATTTCATCATTATCGTTTGTTTTCTCGTTTGATATAAGTGTGATTCTGATAAAATGTGTATGTATGTACGCACGTATTGTTGATTAGAGTGAGTCGGCATATTTTGTTACTATCCCTTTATACATTATTGCATCGTTTACTATGGTTTGTATAGATGTACTATTTGTGATGAAAAGACCACACGTAAATCAAACAAACAAACATCATGCATCAACATCATAATCATTGTTATTGGTTGTTGTATTAGTTATGATACTACTACTACTACTACTACTACTACTACTACTACTACTACTACTACTACTACTACTACTACTACTACTACTACTACTACTACTACTACTACTACTACTACTACTACTACTACTACTACTACTACTACTACTACTACTACTACTACTACTACTACTACTACTACTACTACTACTACTACTACTACTACTACTACTACTACTACTACTACTACTACTACTACTACTACTACTACTACTACTACTACTACTACTACTACTACTACTACTACTACTACTACTACTACTACTACTACTACTACTACTACTACTACTACTACTACTACTACTACTACTACTACTACTACTACTACTACTACTACTACTACTACTACTACTACTACTACTACTACTACTACTACTACTACTACTACTACTACTACTACTACTACTACTACTACTACTACTACTACTACTACTACTACTACTACTACTACTACTACTACTACTACTACTACTACTACTACTACTACTACTACTACTACTACTACTACTACTACTACTACTACTACTACTACTACTACTACTACTACTACTACTACTACTACTACTACTACTACTACTACTACTACTACTACTACTACTACTACTACTACTACTACTACTACTACTACTACTACTACTACTACTACTACTACTACTACTACTACTACTACTACTACTACTACTACTACTACTACTACTACTACTACTACTACTACTACTACTACTACTACTACTACTACTACTACTACTACTACTACTACTACTACTACTACTACTACTACTACTACTACTACTACTACTACTACTACTACTACTACTACTACTACTACTACTACTACTACTACTACTACTACTACTACTACTACTACTACTACTACTACTACTACTACTACTACTACTACTACTACTACTACTACTACTACTACTACTACTACTACTACTACTACTACTACTACTACTACTACTACTACTACTACTACTACTACTACTACTACTACTACTACTACTACTACTACTACTACTACTATTTTACTGAAAAATGTATATTATATATTGTAGAGTATAATTGTACAAATATATTTCCTTCAGCAATGTAGGCGTGAATAAAATTATGTCCCTCTGTGTGTGTATATATATATATATATATGTTCATGTGTATATATGTTCGCGCTTATAATTAACCTGATTGTCTGAATCGCTAATTTATTTAATAAGCACAATAAATGGAGGAGAAAAAAATTAAAAATCAACAATAACAAACAACCGGATCATCGAACAAACACAAACAAACAAACAAACATTTCAATAGTCCATAGTTAATTAGTCAACTAACTAATACATTGGTCAGTTTATGTTTATTATTACTATCATCATTATCCTATTAATTCTGTTAGTGTCACTTTATGTTTGCGGTCTCTGTGTTTGTAAGTGTGTGTGTGTGTGTGAATGTGTGAGTGTGAGTGTGTGTGTGTGTGAGAGAGTGTGTGTGAGTGTATACATAATCAACTATAAAAGCAATCCAGATTCATTATAATCATCATCATCATCATCATCATCATCCTCATTCATCATTCATAAAAGATCACCATCTCTCTCTATATATATATCATCATCATCATCATTATTATTAAACAATCAAATTAGATCATTTTGTCATGCATCATCTCTATTCAATATTGTTTATTATTTATTAAATTATTTATTATAATCAGTGGTTTTTCTTTTGTTGTTTATTTGTCAAAGGGGAGCCAAATAAACATTCTTGACGGTTACGTAATCACTGGTTACCCATTCACACATATATATATATATATATATATACAGATATATACCTAGATACATAGATAGATATACTACTACTACTGATAATAATAATACTGATAGTAGTAGTATTAATCATAACACATCAGTGATATACTATTCATCAAAAAGGAAGTGAACTCTTATTTAGAAAGAGATCAATATCATTTAGACATTAAGATATATCTATCTATAAACAGATTCTATATAGAAATGATTCTATTACATCATATCAATAATACATTATGGTATGGATATTCTATAATGAAAATTTATTTCTTATCAGGATTATTAATTAATTTAATGATCAATTTATTATCCATCAATTATTGTATTGAAAGTACTACAGGTTAGTTGAATGAAAAATAATCATTATTGATTATTATTGATTATGTTATTGATTGATTGATTGATTGATTGATAAATGATCATAGTTATTGAATTGATGGTATGGTTGAAAGTGAAGAGAGTCGATTGTTTCTCTTGAAATACACTTAAATGGTCATGTACATACAACTACTGATAAGGAAGTTCTACTTACTGCTTTTTTTTTGTAATTGAAGAAGTGACTTACACTAAGCCACGAAACGTCAGAAAAATCCAATTTTCTACTCATTGGGATATTACAAATATATTATTTTTATTTATTGTTTATGAAATTGAGAGGATGAAAATACAAATGTTCAGCGATTTAACTAGGTTGGTGGATATGGAGGATCTATTTAGGAGAGTTGGGAAACTCTTATCCTAAACTAATGGTGTACATGGGCTACAGGATCCTAAAGAAATAAATGGCGTATGAATCAATCGTTGGTCATCGGCTACCATGGGAATGCATCTCCTGACATTGTTCCACTGCCTTGTGGATTAGGTCGAAGGTTCTGACTGTGACCCCATAGTTAAACCACCAGGTAGTATCCAAGCCCTCACACAAATCGAATGATTTATATGGCACATATCTGTTTGCTGCTTACTTGTACCAATGTTTGTGTTCATATCATTATTGAAAAATTGAAAGCAATAGGTGATCATTTTCAATCTAGTATTAGATTCCATCTTGGCAGTGCACATTCACAATCCTTCACGTGAAACTCGAACCTATGTACTTCGGTCTAAATGACGGTCTAGCTTAGATTGTCCTGTGAATTCAACTGTTAAAATACAACAATCTCCACAAAATCCCTAGTTTATTATGTTAGCATAGATTAATACTGTAATTGATAGACGAATGATATTTCAATAAAGTTGTCACTTTTGATTGAAACATAAAAATATGTTAGGTGATTGTAATCAGCCGTTAGGAAGTCCAGCATTGATCAGAGTTTCATGCTAGTTGGTACTTGTCAAGAAGGTGTGTGTATGTACAGATAGTCTTGAGGCGAAATAATATTTTTAAGCACGATTGAAATCTGTCACTTAAAGATGTCATCACTTATCTATTCAAACTGTGATAGAATTCCTTCAACTATGACATCAGTTGACCCACTCTTGAATCTCAGTGAGAAAGAACATTAATTGCTTCATGATTGGTGATGTACTTTACTGATATGTGTTAAATGGTATCAAGCTTACATGAAACAGACCTTTCTGTTACTATATCCAACTATGTATCGCAAATACATCTGAAATATTCTAATAGTTGAGATTATGAGTCAACTGAAACTAGATAACCATGGAAAATCTGGAAGCAATGGATGGCTGTTTCGTCCTATTGTGAGACTCCTGCTCAACAGTGCGCATCCATGATCTCGTCACAAAACCCCTTTTGATACATCTGAAATACTTTGTTATAACCCAACTTTTGCTTATAATGAATTATCAGTAAACATTCGTAGAGAATGAAACATACAAGAAATTTATCAGTGTTCTCGTATGTTTAATGTTATCATGAAGTGGACGACGACACAAATGGGAACAACCAATTGTATTTGAGTATAAACATTACAAAATGTCTTACTAGAATCTGAGAATCATACAGTGAATACTTCATTTACAAAATGTCAATCCGTTGTCTCAGACTTGGTTATTCCATCATTTCCATATCAATCATTCTTTGTCCTCGTTCTCTTTTCTTAAATCTACTTAATCTTCTGCTACCAGGCATTTCAATTTCGATTGATCATACATACTACTTATATCTATTGACATCAGTAGTACACACCACACTAGTATTAATATTGAGTTATAATTTGTAAAAATACTACTAATTTTGTTTACTAGTATTATTTTCTAATTTCGTATAATAAACAAATCATCAAAGAAATTCCCCTTTACAGGTTATATTGACTAATATTATTTTATGGAGGTCACTTTTTTGTTGTCAGACGTGTGCTGACATTAGACTGTTTTTTGTTGTTGTCAAACTTAAGAACTTTTTAAACATTAAATACAATGAAGATCATTATTATGCTTATAACCATCAATCATATAATGTATTATAAGCAGTGGAGTCCAGGATGCATGTTTCATCCTATCTGGGACTTGTCAGCTGGATGTACCTGCATCTCAGAGTTGATGTCCACTCTATGACTTGAACCCAATACCGTTCGCTTCAAGTGACATCATGTTAATCACTTCACTATTGAATCTGTTAGTCACTAACTTGTTCATAAGGTTGAAGTTTAAAATCACTTGGTATTGTTTACTTGAATCTTTCCATTGATGTTTAGGACTGCAATTGATCAGTCTCTTATTATTGATATATGTGCATCCTGTACGTATTGCCTCGATATTAGCCTTAATTCACAAGCTTTTTGTAAGCAATGATGGATAGTGGCTAACAGTGGAATCCAAGACATACATTTCGTCCTATTGATGACTTGTCTTCTTTTAAGAAGTGTTTTCCTTCTACTCTATTCACTATGAGATTTGTTTGAATGATCAATTGTTATTCAATATTCTAATGTATTACTTTGAATATTTTCATTTATATGTCTATGAGATGTTAATATCTTTGAATCATGCAATAAGAATAAGTGACCATTAACTGTTCCATCAGACATCTACAACTACTCAGCTACTTTCTCATCTAACTGGGTAAACAGTTTAATCACTTGTATCAAATACTCACTGACAAACCATACCGTACGTATGTAGAGGTTCAGATTCTTTATGAAGTTGTTTTATCCTTGAACATTAAGGAAGGTTTATACTTCTTCATGTTTGTCTAGATAAAAACAAACAAAATATTCAAGCTTAGTGACTAATTTACTTATTTGTATACTGTAATTTCCAAATGTAATTAATAGTGGAATTCTAGTGATGAGTTTCGGCCCATTTAAGCTTCATCAACTATCAAAACTTATGAAAGCTAGTATTAAATAACTACAGTTCTCAGTATGAGAAATAGGAGAATACAAGTTCTGGCAAGTTCTAATAAGTTCTAAGTATTATTTGGATAATAATAGTCTTATTCTGTTATAATCATCCACATTATGAACTATTTGAATGATTCAATTTGTCAAGTTGTATCAAATCACTTTCTCTTCAATATATACAACAGAGTAAACTGCTCATATAGTGAAATGTTATAACGAAAATGAATAGCAGTAGTGTCAGTGATTTCAATCAGTATCATTCAAAGTCATCTCTAAGAAGCATGACATTTGATTAAAAATAGTTATTTCTTTTCATTCAAAGAAATCTATGATCAATAAACTGTTATTCTTTTATCAGAATGGGGGGGGTATGGATATTTTAGTAATTTAATGATTGAATTCATGAGTTAATTAAAGCTAGACCACTATGGAAAACCTGGAACTACTAAATAGACGTTTCGTCCTATTGTAGGACTCTTTTTTGACAGTGTACATCTACGATCTCTCCAAGCGAGATTCAAATCCAGGACCTTCGATCTCGTATGTGACCATTGAGCTGGAATCCAACGGTGTTCATATCTAACTTCAACCAATCCATGATATTACTCAACTGTCTATCATTATTTTCAGTAAGTAACTGCTTTACAACATACATAGTTGATTTCCATTGATCACAACTATCCAATACTTTCAGACTTTCCATAATGATTTACTTTAAATCGATTCATGAATTCAACTATTCAATTATTATTTTTTTATTATTATTATTACAATAGTGAACATTATAAAACCGTTTCTAATGACAAGTTTATTTGTCAACTGTATTATATTCCAAATGGAAAAGAAAGATATTCTTGTTATATATTGTTCATATTATAGAACAAAAAGATAAAAGAGAAACAAAAAAGGTGATAATGGTCTAATGAAGTTAGTTTCTCTTTT